CAAAAATTCGTGTCTAAAATTTATGCATAAAAAACGAGAAATCATTTTTTAAAATAAATGTAAAATTGAAATTATAAACTAAAAGGATTGTATTTTGGAAAAATTAAAAATTTAAACTACAGATCAAGGATTTAAATTTTAAGCAAAAGATTGCAGAGTTGGAATTATGAACTGTCATTTTCAAAAAACTCAACATCGAAAAAATTCGCGAAAAAGTATACATTAATTGTTATGCAATTACTTAGAAAATAATCGTTTTTAGTTCAATAATACCTAAATACTTATCGTACCTTTTTATAATTTTATATTATTTTTTTGAAATTTTAGAAAAAACCTACCTTTCTCTTTATTCAAATTTGCAATTCACTCTCCTTTCTGGTCATAGCTCATAATTTTTATTTCTCATAGATTTCAAGTGATATATAATGATCAAAGGAAGTTTAATTTTTTAAATAGTAATTCATAAAAATTTAGTCGAAATTAATATATATACGAAAATTAAAATTACTGCTTTTTATCAAAAAAATGGGTTAACAAAACATTAAACGATAAAGTATTTCATCAATATAAGAGATTAGACAGAAGAAACATATGAGTATTACTCAATAAAAATTAATTTATAATAATAAACGAAAAGGCTCTGCAAATCATAAAATTCATTTCATATCCCTTTTAATTTATAGCGTTTTTTTTGTAAAAGTAGAAAAGAAGTGAAAGTTCATTTCAACCTTAACTTTTTTCAGATTAGAAGACATTTCCGACAGCAAACGGAAATAAAAAAGAGAAAAAAGAAAGAAAAAGAAAAAAGAAATATATTTATATAAAAACAATACGGGAAAAAAGTGTTGTTTTTTTTTTCGTTTAAGAAATTCGAATTTGCCGATTAATTGGGTCTTCTTAACTGAAATTTCATTCGTTTCTATTTTTCTATTTCTTATGCCCTACTCCCGTCATCCGTTAATCCTTAATTTGGTTTTTCCTTGCCCTACGGGGTGCATTTCGGTTATTTTTTCTTTGAAATACTATTCGAAAAAACACTCTCGTCTTCTTCTCTCTTCACTAAATAATTGTTGTATCCGTGTTAATCTCAAAACATCGCTCCTTTTTCTGGGAAAACTTGTTGAAATTCATGGATGGGAAGAAAATTAAAAATAAAAACGAAAAAACACCAAGAGAAAACAAAATTGTCACATAAGTTTTGATAGAAGAAAGTAGGCAAGAGAAAAAAGGAAAAATATCCAGTTTTCGATTTTATTAATAATATGATAACTTTTCAGAACGGAATGAATGAAATTGATGCTAAAGTCAACAATTTTATCAAATTTTGAAATGTTTTCCTTTTTTTTTTAAGAAAAAAATTTATTTCGCACAAAAAAACAAAACGAATATTTCAAAACCTCATGTGAAAATTTTGAGTGTTTTGATATGTTTCCTAAATGTTTATAACATGTTACAATAAAATGACCTGGACTTCACCCAATAAAATGCATCACTATATGCATTAAAAAGAACATGATCTTTAAAACAAGTCAAATAATTTGAAAAATTCCGCTAATGAAAATCTGCAGCAAAATTAATTTGCAAAACCAAACTCAATTATATTAAAACTTCTTGTGACGATGACGACTATTAAGCTGCACTGCTAATACACAGTTGAGAAAGAGATAAAAAACGAAAAAGAATAACAAAATAAACTGCACATAATTTTTGAAAAAAATCATGGAATAGAATGATTATAAATTGAAATGGAAAAATTAGTCTCTGAATCTCTTAGAAGCATGAATATTATATAAATATGAATATTTTATGCAATAGTGTATGTATTAATCATTCAACTACAAAGAAAAGCATAACAAATCAAACAGTAAATAGGACAAAAAAAAAAGAAGATGAAATGGACAATTTTTAACAAACATTCACAAACAGACAGTTTCATTCCAATCGGTCACTCTAATGCCAAAAAGGCTCTATATATTTGTTTGATATTTATTTGTTGCGTAAGGCGGATCCAAACGATACACGAAAATTTTTCTTTTAGCAATAAGGAAAACAGTTGATGATAAAGAAAATGCATATCGAGCAAAAAAAAAAAAAGCATAAAAAGACACTTTTAAAACGGCTAGTTTTTTTAAAATTTTTTCCCTCCACCCACCTTCCATTTAATTTAATAATATTGAGAAGTCACAGTGATTCATTTACTCTGTCAATAATTATTCAATAAAAAGTTGCGTATTTCAGAGCAAATAATAAATTCTATATTTCCTATCTTTAATATATATATATATCAGTTTAACATAAATAATTGATGATTGAAGTCAATATGTATATTGTATGTTAGCAAGTCCACTAAAAGAATTTCCCATCAAAAATTATGCAAAATTTATGGACATTAATCGATTACGGTAACTCGCGCACACTTCGATTATCTTTTCATTACAGATGCTATCAGTGGTTAACACTATCGTGCAAGAAAAGAAATGGTTGTGATGAGTATAATCGTTTCAAACCTACAATACCGTAATTTTGTTATTTTGTGAGAAAGTACAGTAGCAAACAAAGAAGAGAAACCATAGCTATTAATATTTGATTCGTAGTAGTAAACTTGTAACTTAGTGAGTGAAATTTTCAAGCTATTCGATAAAGCTTTATAGTAATTTAGAGTAAATCTGATCAAGAATATTTAATTTATCCTTATTCTAAAATGAACACTGCCAATTAAATTTCCAAAAAGAAATATCAATTTAAGACACTGCAAGTATGTAATATTTCCTGTTTAGCTCAAGCAACTGCTTATGCCTTGCTTTATTTCTTTTATTTTTTACATTTAACTTTGATTTTATCGCTGTTTCATGTCTTCGTCAGCATTTATTTTACAAACTTTTAAGAAAAAATTAAAATTTGATTATCAGATCCAATGAAACAAAAATAAATCTGAAACTAAAACATCTATCAGCAATAGAGTTCAAATCCCTACAGTTCTTCATATTCCTGAAAATTTTTATTCATATTTTATTTTCACACTCAAAAATCTTGCATTGCACTACACTTATATTTGTGATAGAAAGTCAACAATAAAAATTTCAAATTCTTATACTTTCACTAATTCATTATCATAGTAACGATAAATTTTACGTTAATTTCTACATTAAATCGCCAAAAGTAAGCTAGATTAAAGCTAAAACTCACATCATTTAAGGCACATTTCAAATTTAAAATATACATGTGACAGTTCCGTTTTATTGATGTTTATACATTATAATTTGCCAATAGGTCAAATTTATCATCTAAATACATGCAAAAAGAAGACCACAAAGCAGACGATATGTGGAGTGAGAGAGTACCAGTACTTTATGAGCTAAAAAAAGAAAGCGAAAGAAGAGAAAAATAACGCATAAAGAATTTTAGACAGATTTTAAAATATAGCAGAAAAAGAAAAATGTTAGTTAACTGTCAATTTGACGAGTTATGCAAACATGTTGATGATATGTTTAGTGGAAAATATTGAATAAATTTTGAGTTCCATCTTTCTTCATCCAATTTTCCCCATTGAATATTTTTATTGAATTGAATTCAAAAGTGTACTGCAAAATTTTAGAAAATTCAATTTTTTTTTTCCTTTTTCTGAATTTTTATAAAACCATATGCAAACAAGGAAGTAATATATTTTTTAAAGGCAAGAAAAATCGATGTACTATTCATATTCAAGCAGTATATTCACCTTTTTTTTTTTCTTTTGCATTAATCTTTTGATGAAAGTTTTTTAAAAGTTTGTTTAGGATTTAATTTAACTTAAATGCTTGGCTAAAATCTCAAAAATAAAAAGGAAAAAGGATAAATTGAGTTTTCCAATTATGAAATGAAATTTTTAATGGATTCTATTTTTTATGCTTATTAGATGTAAAACTCATTTTGACAAAGGGAAAAAATGGTTAGTGATAAATTCTAGATATCGATATTATAAGTTTTTTCCAATGAATTAAAATTAATACAGTACAATACTTATTTCAACTTTACATTATTAATTTCATTGACTACAAAATTTGCAAAATGATTTAAAAAGCATCCATACATTTTCGTTTTTCTTTTCTCCTTTTTTTCCTTTTTTTTTTGTTAAAAAGGAAACTATCTTTTCGATTATTTTATTTCAGCCATTACTTCTCAATTCCTTAGCACAACAATGAAAGGAAAAAAAAAACTGTATTTAATAGCGGAACAAAATGATCCACTGATCCACCATCAATCAATCATTTTTTTTTTTTAAATTAGCTGATAAATTTCATCTTCTCTAAGTATTCATCAAACAGGATCATCTCTGTTTCATTGTAAATTTTCAATATTTTAGTCTGATTGTGTAAATCTGAGTATTTCCAGTATTTTGTACCTTTGTCAGAATTTGAATTGCGTCTTTTAAATTTTTAAATTCAAATTTTCAATTTATCAGAAGTAAGAGTAAAAAATGATAATTATCCAAATAAGATAAATATCTTATTCAGATGATCTTGAAGAAAATGATGAAACATGTATTGAAAGCAAGTTAATAAGATGATCGAAAAAAGTTTGTATATTGTTCAAGAAAAATCAGGAATTGAAGAGATATGATGTGTTTTCAAACCTTCCAAAATCTAATGCATTTACTTCCGCAATGTTCTAACTTTCTTCTTGTACGAATAAAAGTTTGAACATTTTATCATTAAAAAATTAAACAAATGAAGAAGCAAAATAGCCTGGAAGAATTTATCTGAAAAATAAGGAAGTAAATTGATAGATTAATTAGCTTTTATAATTAGATAAGAATTACTGATTAGTGATTTGAAATGTAGAGAAAGAGATGTATTTTTGAAATAAACTTACAGTTGGAAATATTCATAAATTAATGATTCTGTATAAGTCACAGTAATATTTTATAATATATATAAGGAAGTAAGCATAATGAACATGAATTATTTCACTTTTATAAATTGATGATATAAATTTCAGCTCAAAAGATTTTATCATAAATTTCATAATTCACTCATTACAGGTATGTCCATAGCAGTAGTAACGGGTGCCGCAAGGTACCAAGGTACTAGTTCCGTGAGGTAAAAATCCAAAAACGAGCTTTTCTTCTTTGAAGGAAAAAACATCAAACATCTCAAATAATGGACAGTTAGTCTTGTTCCTTGAGGCGCTTCGTACCAATACGTACCTACTCTTATCTTCATACTTTTCCAGTTATTCACTAAATACGACGATCAAAAATAGTAATGATAATGATGATGATCAACATTATTATCATTATCATGATAATGGCATTAGCACAAAATGCTAACGTTATCGTGAAATTTAATAATAAAATATTAGTATAAAATTAAATGACATGTCTTTATATATATTAATTATATTAAGTGCTTCATTTTCTATAATAAGCAACTATTTAAGTATTAATTCCAACTAAATAATAATGGCTTATTGTAAATGTATTCAGCAAAAAAACAAATACTTTCCTTCTCATCTCCAATTATCTATTAAGTAACTCACTTTTCATTTCATTTTCAATATTACCAGATAGAAGTGCCATCTGACTCGAAAGAAAAAAATACTTTTTATTTTCTTTCTACAAAATTTTTCTGATTTGGAAATTGTGTCATGAGTAGAAAAAAGGAAACAAAAAAAAAAAAAATTGGGAACAAACATTTTTCTCATATATAGAAGAGAAAATGAATAATTTCAGAAAAATTAAAGCAAATCATATGTGACATAAAGAAGAGGAAAAACAAAACAAAAATAAAGTAGGACGGAGGGAAGCAAAACAGAAGAAATCAGAAACTGGAATGGAAATGAGAGTGAACTGAAAAAGGACAGAATAGCCAAATAAAATTGAATTGTAAATTCAAAACCTAATTAAAACAACTGTATTATTGTTTTTTTAAATCACAGTTTAATTTTTCTAAATTTTAATTTACTGCATTTATTCCGAAACGGTCACTTATGTTTCGCTTTCATCTTCTTTCATTCGCTATTTCTTCGTTACAAAGCACTGATATTTACTTCAGCAGTCAATGGCATTAGTGTGCTACGGTAATTGATAATTGACCTGATCAAAACATCCAGAATAAACAAAAAAGATTTCGTCGCCATTTCACTTAAAAACAATTAAGAGGAGACATCTCAGTTGAAAATAATTCGTATTAATTTAAACTAAAAGGTGATGAATTACGAAAAGATATTCATCTGGAGGGATTGATATTTTACTTTTATTGATAAATTTTGTTTGAAAAATGAATTAAAAATCTAATGAAATGGAGTCAAATACAATAAAAAAGGACTAGTTGTTAAGTAAAACTTTGATTTAATATAAATAATGATAAAATGACATTGCCGTACAAAACGTATGGTTGATGAATATTATATTCTGATAGAAAATCTTCGCATAAATGTGATACACTCTTATATGGAATAAATAAAAAAGTATCGAAATGAAATTTATTTCACAGCAACAGTTTACTTGCATAAACTGCTGAATGTAAAATAACCCTCAGTTTTCTTCAGCAAATTTAAAGTAAGTAATTGCATTTTTCTAGTAAAAAGATCAGTTAAATGAAATATAAAACCTATCACTTACTTTAAAATTGTTGTATTATTAAAAATTTAATTTCATCGAAATGAATTATTTACACTTGATTAATATGTAAGAGAATAGAAATAATCCAATCCAGAATTAGTAATTTGATATATGCTCCCTTTTACTAATCAAATAATACTTAAACAGTTCTAAAGAAAATATGATTATATATTAGATATGGAAATGTTTCCTACTTCTGGATTTCAAATAAAATAATTGCAATTCAACTATCAATAAATAAAATCCTTTTTATAAACCTTTCCGTCAACTATAATGAGCAGAAAAAAAAAACAAATTTTTTCCTTGCCTGAATCTTTTTTCTCATTTTTTGAACTTTTAGCTTAGATAAAACAAAATAACCGGTTAATCCATTTTCATTAACTGAATGATTTAGGATTACGACTAATTTTATGAAATTTGTAATTTCAACAATTTCGATAAATTTTCCGTTCATATTTATCTTATTTTGATCGGGATTTGCCTTCATAATATTTCGATAATAACAAGCGGTTTATGGAGCTGTCTCTTTTCCCCTCAATTAATTATCAATCCATTTAAGTTAAATGGTGTAAAAAGAAATGGTGCAGACAATGTTGGTTATTGTGCACCGGTTGGTTGCTACTTGATTAGTTGTCAACTGGGTCAAACCAATAACACATACACACAGCACAAAATAACCCCATAAAATACTTCGTTCATTCCACAATCTTTCTGGATGAATGCAAAAGATTCCATTCTTGAGAGGATTTTCTATAATTCGCTCACTCAGCTCTTGTTCCCATTTCTTCATCTTCGAAAGCATTATGAAAAATAAAAATGCACTAAAATATTTCCTTCAATGACTAAAATAAATATTTGAAATAAACTGTTTGCCACTAGAATTTATAATACTCCACAACAAATTTACACTATTATTATTAATGTTAATAATAACAATTAGTATGATATTTTCATATTATTAATGTAACAAATAATGCGCCTAAAACAATAAATATAACTCCTATTGTTGTGGTATTATTAAAAGAAATGAATAAAATTCATTTGCTACGATGACGAATACAATAATAATGACTATTATCCTTTTTCTGATATAAATTTAAAAATGAAATTTAAATTTGAAACCTGAAATGTTTCAAATATCGCCTTATATTTAAAAATTAAATAACCTATACTTGAAAATTTTAAACACAATTAAAAATTTAAAAACAAAAAAAAAGTTTAAGAAATAACTTTATATGAAAAAATAAAAAGAACGCTGGATGCATTGAATTAAACTCAAGTAATTAATTGGGAAAGCTGTGTGGAAAGCAGAACAAAGGATTAAACTAATTAATTAGGGAAAGATGTGTAGAAAGCAAAAGAAGATAATGATTATTAAATTTTACCGTAAATAATACAACAATAAGGTATTACTTCAAGTGGAAGAGAAAAAAGAAATTATTATAATAAATCTCTGATTTAGCCATTTAGCCATCTAAGTTTTAGCCAAGTCCTTTTTTAAAATCCTTCCAGTTTTTTTTTTTTTTTTGGTTTAGTTTTGCAGTCATGCAAATAAATTGTTTAATAATAATGATAAGTCTTTCAAGTCTATCTTTAAATAAGAAGACACAAACTTGTAATTTCCTTTCTGCATAGCGTACATGTGTAACTTTTAAAATGTGCTTGCATTCGATGACGACTTAGCGACGATGAATGGCAAAATATTTTTTGGCATATCGAACACCGGAAAGTTCCTACAAATGTTAATGATTAATTAGCTTGTCATTAAATTTATCTAGATAATGAGTATGCACTTGAAATAAATTTTGCATCATCGATAAAAAAGTTAAATAGCAACTGTCATAAGTGATAGCAAAATGAAGAATCCGATGAAACAAATGATTCGAACCTCCTTTACCGAATAGATTTTTTACTGTATGCTAGTTCTACTTCACATTCTTCTTTCATTAATTTGGGAAGGAATCTTTTGTCACTAACTCATTCATTCATATCACAATGAATTAAGTGTAATTCTGGATGAACATTCAAATAAAAAAAAAATATTGATAAAAGCAAATAAAAAATTCATTGTTTCATGAAGTTTTACTAAAAATTCCTTATTTAAAACTTCTAAACGCCAAGAGTTCCAAATGCCAAGAGTACCTTACAAACAATTCATTCTTTTTTTTAATGCTAAATAGCTATTCAAAAATTCATAATTAAAAAAAAAGACCTTTTAAATCAGGTCTTTTCAGTACAGTTCTGAAATTACCATGCTGAGGAGTAATGCCTTGTTCTGCAGTGCTTAGTACTCGTGAACTCTGCTGAAAATTAAACAAGTTTACAAATGATATTGTATCTAAATTAATTACTATGAAAAATTTTAATTTTTACATCACTTAATCTTGTTAGGCTGAAATGCGTTAGCGCATTATGCGTCACTTCCCTATCATTCTCTTTTGCTATGACGGTATAAACTGAAATTAATTTTTTTGATAGATCACAGAAAAAAATTTCAGGTGTTTAGGAAGATATACTGCGTGTTGCGTAGAAAATTTATAACAACCTATGGTGGGGAAAAAAGAAAGAATGAATACACTTTTTGAATAATTTATTTAATTTAATGGTTATGCAACAATTAAGTATTAGAGGAAAAAACATTTATTTCAACTGCAACAGGATGAAATATTCCATTTTGTTAATTCTATATTACTGAAAAGTCTAAAATATGCAATAATAAATAAACTGCTGAAGTAAAAGCATATAATCATTCATAAATGGGAAAAAAATTTACAGATGTTATAAAAACTTTACGAAAAGTTTTGAAAAAAGTAGTGAGATTTATTATGGATTAATAATTCAACGAACTTGTTTCGAAAGTTGCTCGAGAGTTTTAACAAAATCGTCATCCATCAATGCTTGTTTTGGAGGTGATGGTAAACTTGTTGAGCTATCGTGCTCTGACGATGGAGATGCCATTGAATTTTCCACAATACCTGCAATTTGCATAGTTTATTATGAATCCTTTAAGACTTGAAATGGTTTGCAAAATATATTGATTGCAATGCAATCATTACAGTAGCTATTGTGACATGATACTAGCGAAATATGATAATACTATTCTTTTTTTAATGATTTTTTTTTAAATTTAATTATAATCAACATTAAATTTTTTAAAGACATAATTCATTCAACATTATTATAGTCAAACAGTACTGAGACAATTCAACAATCTCTTATTGAAAATATGCAATATAAGCTAAAGAAATAAGTAAGTCAATTATAAGAAAGTAACAGCAATTTAACATCAATTTATGCTAACCTAATGCCATTATAATACCGAAAAAATAATCATATATGTATAATTTGTATAAAGTAAATATCTATTTTTTCCGGAATTTTTTTCCTTATTTCGAATATACTTATATACATAGTTATAAAATATTTATATATACCCAATTCATAAGTTTTTAATCACAACCAAAATGGATTCAACACAAAAAACAAACGAGAAAATGTAGAGGAAGAGAGAGAAAGAGGGAGAGAAAAGGAGAGGGAAATAAAAGAAGAAAATACGGTTATGAAAATAGAGAGAGTGAGAGAGAGACGGAATAAAACAAA